AGTCTCCTGTAACGCCAGTCGATGCCTATACATCCTCATCGAGAATCTCTCGAATCACCTGATCTCTCAAATCACCGAATCTCCTGAGTCGCAAAGTATGAACTTGGCCTTATCTCTAGACTCACTTTTTTCACAGAGTTCTACAACTGATTGGAGGTGAGACTGTACTCGTGCAAATCGATGAGCCATTTCTGAGGAAATGTTGGCATGCGGAACGGCCATTAGTGAATTCACTATCTGCAAAAACCTCAGGTTTATAGGAGATTTTCCAGTAGACTCTTGGTAACCACAAGGTTTCAAGACTTACCTGGCAATGCGTGAGCGTTTCCGTGCAGTGAGGCAACTTCGAGCAGACATGCAGTGGAGTTTCAGCGATTCCGTTCCCTAAAAACGTACGTGATAAATCGACGTCGCGGGAACTTGGCTCTTGTAATAGTTTTCGACAAGGAACTCTCTACCAGGGCACATCGGGGATTCCTACTGAGGGCGAGGGGTATTCGGTCACTGGGAGGAAGGGGGTCGTGTTAAAAAAAATTCTTCCAACGGCAGAGTGCTCTTTTCTACGCCTTCTGCTTCTTTGTGGGCTTCTATAGTGTCTTGAAGGGATGTAAACGCTTAGAACCCAAGTAGGAAGTTGTAAGTGAGGCAAAGGTCGTGCAGTAGCAAGACCTTGCCCCTGCAACAATGAGGGTCTGGGGAACGAATCCCGGGCTGGTTGTCCACCAGAGCCCTCTGTTTTGATTTCGCCTGTCACTATTATACACATATACTTACTTGTACATGAGCCGGCTCCCGGAGTAAATATGTGACAACTCGCATTGAAGACACTACTATCCCGAGTGGAAGTACAGTGCTTGGCGCATCTCCATAGGGCACGTCGTACGCTGGGGAATCCATAGCAGGGTCGTATTTGCTCGTCGCTTCTGGAGCAGCGATTGCTTTTTGCAAAAAAAAACGGTTGCAAGACACTTCCCTTATGGGTAGCTGGGTACGAAGCGCGGCTGTCTAACGTTAACAAGCCTTGTAGGTATTAACCAAAAAAAAATAAAACTGGAAGTGATCCCAAAAACGAAAAAAAAATTCCAAATACTACCTTTCAAGCTGTTCTTCGCCAACGCGATGGAAAACATCTGACAAGCAGCACATTGTGGATGTACATCGACGGGTGCTGACCATACACCGACCAAAACACTCAAAAGTATGATGAGCCGCATCTAAAGTGGCTTGCATTGAGAATTCTTTGTCCATTCGGATTAGTCATGCTGTTCGGAAAAAAATGAGCTGCTCAAAGCTAGGGCTTACAAGTTCAGAAATGAGAAAAATGGTTGAATCTTTGCTCTAAATGATCCCAGTTCGTCCCATACACTGCCTTGCGGTGAGAATTGTAGGGTAGACATAGTCCATACCTCAAGGCTGCAGAGGTGGCTACGTATTTCATGTCGACTATCTTCTCTTACAAACACGTCTCTGAATCACTTCCGTGTGGACCTTCGTCGCCACGCCTCTTGCTACCCTCAGGTATGCACTGTACATACGGCTGTACCACTCGCTTTGCAGCGGTCATTTAGTCTACCACATTTGAGCAGTATGGAAGTGGCAGAGTAGAGGTATATGCCCTTAAAGTTTTTAATTAAATAGCTGTCGGCAAAGGAAACTGGCCTCAATTATGACTACCAGCCACTTGGGCCTAAGATGGCCTCTGAAGCCGTAAGGTACTTCTAGCGTTACATCGGGGAAGTATACAGCGCTCATCGTCACATTCGACAAGTTCGTGCCGTGGGCTTTCTCACTAGGAGCTCAAGCAATAGCATCACTAAAGATAGGACATAAATGTTGTTCATGTAGACCACATCTCCATCACTCTAAGGCGGAGGTGGTGTAGTGGCAAGTCTAACAATATGACTCGCCCGATCCGACGGCCAAAATTCGGATTGGTTCTCGCTCAGGCACCAGCCCTTCTATCCTGTGGCGGTGAATTGGTACCAACCTTGTCTGGGAGGATATGAACACTGATTTGCACATCGGCTGGCCCTGCGAGTCATTGTATAGGCCGCATCGCGTCTAAAA